TACATCTGAGTAATAAAGACAACTAGCTCATCAGTTAAATCTGTACCTACTACAACATAGAGCCTTGTAGACAATCGATTGTCTAATATTATTCCACTAGCGAAATCTGAGCGACTGCACCGGAAATTGAAATGGCTCTGTATAGGACTAGTTCATTATGTGCCTTGGATGTTGATAACCTGTTGGGCCAAAACCAACAGCCCAAAACTTTGTACACCTTCGACGTCCCCGAGACTCACATTGTGAAGATAATGACTGGCCAAAACTTTGTCGGACCTCCAAATCATCCTTCCATGATTGTCTTAATAGTACAATTGCCATGTAAAGCCATGTTAGAGGTTAACGCCCTGATCTCATGAGGATTATTCACTCTCAGCGGATCCAGATTGGTGATCCAATAAGCCTGAAGGATGATTACACGTAACCATAGAGATATGGTGTTGCGACTAACTTCAGTCGTGGACGTAGTAGACACGGGTATAAATAACCGCTTCCTTGAACCACGCCTAGGAACGGGGGATGAAAATTTGCAGTGCCCGTACCGGACATAATAGGAGTTCACCCTCATCTTCACTTCCCACAATAGTCGATATTGGTGGAATGGCGAAGGAACGATTCTTTGGTAACTGATTCTTTGCAATAAAGTCCAAGCACAACCGGAGATGCACAGCTCCGTGTGTCCCATTCTCAAAACGAAGCAGGGCGATGTCAATCACCCATGCCACCGCGGCTACTGCCAAGAGAAATACTGTTTTCTTGGTGAGGTCATAAAATGAGGATGCATAGAGGGGCTCGAAGGGGGGATCCTCGCAAATCTTGAAGTACCACGTTCAAGTGGAACTTGGCCTTCTGATCCTAAAGCCTGAATGAGCGTAATAGGGCCTGTAGTTCCGTGACCTTAGTCATCTTGCGATTTTCTGGAACGGCCAAAACTGAATTAAGTGCAACCAAGTACGTAGTAATGGTGCTACCTTTCAAGTGTCTTTGGGTACGCAGATGTAGGAGGTATTCAGCTAAGAACTGTGGGGACACAGTTGTAGGGTCTTGACTTTTTGCCTTGCAAAACATTTCAAACGATCCTCACTTGTCATCGTATAGACCTCTGGTAGAAGGATGATGAGCTAACATTATAGCTTTTGCTGCCCATGCCAAATAGCCCTTTGCACTTAACACTTTTTTAAGACAAACCATCCGTGCAGACGAAACCTGTCTGGTGTTGGATGAGGCAGTTTGCTGTGAGGGTGGATAAGTAGGTTGGACCACTGTGGGAGGGGAAGTGGATCGTCTTCTGCTAAATTTCTGAGCTCGATGAACCACCCACTCGCCGTCCACCAAAGTCAGAGCAAGTCTCCTTGTCTCCTTGATCTTTTGTATTACTCTGGGAAGTAAAACTTGTGGTGGAAAAGTGTACGGCGCATCCGTCAACAGGGAGACATATGTCGTGAGTTGGTAATTTTGGCAAGTTGCAAACAGGTTGATGTTTGGTTGCCCGAACTTCTGAAGCAGTAACTGGAATGCTTCTGTGTGAAGTTACCACTCGGAGGGAGCCACCCTGTCTGGATGCGATAAAGCATCAGCCAGAATGTTTTGACATCTGGGGATGTGCTGAACTATGAACTGTAGTTGCAGGCGATCCACGAGATGAAAAAATCTGTCTTCGAGTTGGGGTGACTGTAGTTGATTCTGCCAATGTGCTTCCAACTCCAAGTTGTTGTGTGCCTCTTTCGATGAGCGCTTGACCATAGCCCTGAGGCTGTCTGGCCTTGCAGGTGAGCACCCCACCCTTGAAGGGAGGCATCTACGAACAGGTGTAGATTCGGGGATAACCCGGATAAATAGACTCCTCCTACGACATTTGACTCTACCGTCCACAAAATGAGGTAAGGCCTTAGTAGAATGATGGCCTTGAGCTGATCCTGATGCCTGATGTAAGGAATCAGGAAATGTTGAATTGGGTGTAATTGTAATCAGCCTCTGTTGGTTTGATCCTCGGCTGATGTGAGTAACCCTAACAACACTTGCCACTGTTGAAGTGTGCATGGTTGATAAAGAGCAGGTGACAGGAGGCGTAAAATCTTGCACCATCTGTCCATCATAACGGATAGGAGATCCTGGTCTGTTTGGAACAGACCTCCTATGAACTGGAGTCGATAGGATGGAGTTAACTCCGACTTGGCCTCGTTGATAATCCATCCCAGTTGATACAGTAGCCTTCTGGAGAAATCCTGGTGGCATACTAACGTCTGCATGTGTTGATGACACAGGAGACAGTCGCTACGACTCAAACCAAATGTTCCTCAGGTGTAGAAACAAAGTTATGGGCTTCATTACTCGTGTAAATAGCCACGGGGCCACTGAAATGCCAAATGGGAGCACAGCCAACTGGTAGTGAACCCCATTGAACTGGAATCTGAGGAACCTGTGGTGGGAGGTTATGGATTGGTATATGCAGATGTGCATCCCGCAGATCGAGATCAAGGAATCAAACACCTTTATGCTGGTTCTGAGTAGTCTCAACGTGGTGAGATGGAAACAGGGTGGACGCTTCAGGTAATGTTTGTTGAAAACAGAGAGATTGTGTATCATTCTCATCTTGTCTGAGTCCTTATTGGGTACCAGGAAGATGTGGGAATAAAAACCCGGTGTGTACAATCTCTACGGCTCTCTTTACCAACAGAATGTCTTTATTGGCCTTTAATAGCAGATGTTGCCTCCTTGGATAATTCCAAGGAAGAGGAGCCATGGTCAACTGTTGAACCACCTCTGTGTACAGAAGGTAACCGTGACGTAGTACCTTGAGAACGTAATCGTCCTCAAGGATGCTCAAGTTCTTCCAAAATCGATCCAGTCTCCCACCTACAGGGGTATCGACAATTGGGACAACTGGGGGCGGGAGATCCCAGTCGTGACTTTCCAACACCTCAGTGTTTACCCCTCTTATCACTTTCCCTACTGTGGTATGTACCACGCCAGGATTGATAAGAACCTTGAGGTTTCCCTCTGCCACGCCCTTTCCCACGAAAGGGATCCTGCGCCTGGCCTTCCTTGATAGACTCACGTCAAGGCCTGTAAGTGCCTGACTTGCCTGATTGCTGGGATAAACTGTGAGAAACGTGCTCCAAAGCCTTTAGTGACGTCTCATCCCTAGCATAACTGGAAACTTTGGCGTGCGTGTCCTTAATCTGTTCATTGAACAGAGACGTGGAAGACCAAGGTTGACATAACAACCTGCACTTAAACTCTGAATCCCAAGTAGATAGGGATAAATAGCCAAGCCTCTGTGTGACAGTTATTCTGCCAACGCAGCTTTAAGGTGATTTCTCATGTGGTCAATCTGACGCTGTTGAAAATCAACTATAGTTTGGAGATGATCTAGTAGGTTAGGGTTATCCTCTGACAGATCCTGATTTCCCGGTTTTAGGTTTTAATACCCTTTGAATTTCCATTTCAATAAACGCAACTCTGGTATCCTGAACCTTAAGAGTAGTAGGCCTTGCGGGCCTGCCATTCTCTGTATATCCTGATCCAAACTATGTGCTTGGTCTGCTGCCTCCAAACCATGGATAGGAAATTATCCTTCCTAAACTTGAGTGGCTTAAATGACGGCGTAAGTGTCAGCCTGGAAAAGTCCTCATCCAAAGATCTTATCATTTCGGTCATCATAGGGTCGACCAGAATCGACGTAGGATGTGTCCATATAGTATCTTTTTTATCCACCCTGTTACCCGGGGAAGGCACTGAAATGAGGCGGTCCGCTACCCAATCAAGAACTTGTGCCAGACCGAATGAAAATTCCATTCTGTCGAGGAACCTCCCTCTTCACCATTAGAATAGTCCAACGAATCAGAACGATGTTGACGTGTGTGTCTAGATGGTGAGCGACTTCTATTCCAATGTGTAGAACAACCTCTGACCGAGGGCTTAGATGAACTGCCTGGTGAATAGGAGTCATGCGTCAATGTCCAAGTATGCCCATGTGTACTGGTACTACTCAACTGGTGGCGAACAGATCGATGTCAGGGCGACCTGCACAAGTTTTATGACTCAGATCAAAAACAGGTCTTCCTTCTGTCAGTGACAGCAGTAATGTGAAGAGCCATGACGTCACACTTCCTTGGTCACGTGGGAGCTGTGTGATCGGATTGGCCTCTCAGCTAGTTGAAACAACTTCTTCAAGCAGGATCTTCACACAACTCTTTCTCTCTGTCAAGAACAAGCAGTAAATGTATTAAGGAATAAAGCAGGATAAGTAAAATATATATGTAATATATAAAGACACAAACCATAGGAAGGATACAGTTCACATAAAACAATAGTGTAATAATAACAAGCAAAGGATTGTAATTGATAAAGCTGAGAGCTCAAAACAGGTGTTTGTTCTCTCTGAGTGACAGCAGTAATGTGATGATATGTGACATCATCACTTCGTGGTCACTTGATGGGATTAGCCACACAACCAGTTGGAACAACTTCTTCTTCAGCAACAGCTATTCTTTCTGTCAAGAAGTAATGCAGGATAAGTTAAAAAATCGGACAATTTTGATAGGATGGCTTGGTTTACAGAGAACAGAAATTTTTTCCCAACTACTCTGTTGGCGTGAAAATGACAAAGTGAAGAGGTACCAGCTTGGTCACGTGCTTCTGGTGCCTCTGCACGGCTCAGGGGTGCAGTTGGCTTTCTGTTCTCCGGGAACACAGCATCAGAAGTTTCTACTACCTTTTTGAAATGAGACAAGGTAAACAATTAGTATCAGTCAGGAAAAGGTAAAATATAAATGCTTATCGTCTTACAAATGAAGGATGCAAGATTGACATATACAGGACAGAAAATGTCTCACCAACAAAAGCCATCCCAACTATGCTAACAGTCATTTGAAGTACTCATGTGTCACAATTCATTGGCGTTTTTTCGTATCCAAATAAAAACATTAGCCTACATACATACGCTTAACAAAGCACATGCATGTATAATTTTAGTTACTTATAGATTACATACATACCTCTGTTGCGATAACAAGTTCAAGGCTTGGACTGGAAAGGGGATCAGTACAGGCTGCTTGAGCTGAAGAGATGAGAGTGGAGTGAGTGTAAACTATTTCTTGACTATATGGCCATGTCACCACGGCTGCACGGCTCCAGTCTGACCATGTTTACAAACTAATCTAAATAACTATGTCTTTATTAATGATAATTTCCAAATTTTACACAGAGATATGTATTTAATCTATAAGTAACTGAAAATAAATAGAAAAGCAAATCTGATAAATTTTAAGTAATTTGTAGTAAGCACCCTGTAATTTTAATTCAAGATCACAACTCAGTGCACTGAAAAAACCTCAGTAACTGTGTTCAGTCGACTTTATGCTACATGAGCAACTAAACAACAAATTTGATACACAAACAGAGGCTACTGGTAAGATACACCAATGTATCAGTGCATCTTGATGTTTTACTTCTTGATACAAGTATCGATCACAGTTGCAAACTAAGTTAAAAATATTAATTCTTGCATCACTTTAATAACTGTTACACCAAAAAGTAAATGTTTTCTTCCTTTGCTCCATGCTTGACACTGCCACCTGTAAATCGTCATTGTGCCAGGTACTTGGCCAGCCTGCCTATAAAAAAGAGGGCTTACGCAACACAGATAAGAGCTCATGCAAGTATTGAGATACATATCGGATAGGGAGCAAGATATCATCATACGTATCAGTTGCACAGTTTGATACATAATCAGCCCTAATCCCATTTGAATTTTGCTTCAAGTGACACTGCTATTGTAAACAACATGTTGGCCAAGTTAATGCTAAAGGACTTCACGGCCTGTTTGTGGAGTAATCTCCTATTCTCTATGTACATAATCTAAAACAGACTATAGATAGTCTTTGTCTTAGTGTTTGTGGAGTAATCTCCTATTCTCTATGTACATAATCTAAAACAGACTATAGATAGTCTACGGTCAGCAATTCATTCACCTAAGGGTGGTCACAAACATGGATTCTCTCAAACATGAACAATGCGCTGTAATAAAGTTCCGTAACAAATAGGGATGCAAAGCAAAGGAAATCCATGATCACATGTGTAAAGTGATGGGTAAGGATGCTCATGACTATTCCACAGTTTGCCGTTTGTCTCTACAGTTTAAAAGGGGTAGGGAGTCCACAGACGGTGACCCAAGGTCAGGCAGAGTAGTATAGGTAATGGGGATTCTAGCTCACTTACACTGGAGCCATATCTATATACCTATACCACTACTAGAGAGGGATTTTTTTATGCAAAAATGATGATGCGATTCAACGATCGTCATGAGTCGTATTTAAAGAAACATCAATATTAATTAATAATGAATAAAATTTACTATAGCCCACGAGGATATTGGAAAGGTATAGAAGCAATACAAAAATTAGCCACTGCGGCTAAGGTATCTAAAGATATGGCCAAGGACTGGTTAAAGAAACAAGCAAATGTGGCACATATACTTACAAGCACCGCGTTATATACCGAGGAAGTATATATAACGAATGAAGTTCATCAGGCTGACCTCTTGTTTCTTCCCCACAATAAGGTAAGACGCAAAACGTATAAATATGCTTTAAACATAGCGGATGTGGCTAGTCGATACAAAGAGGCTGAGCCATTAACCTCGAAAGATTCAACAGCTAGCTAATGCACTAAGTTGTTTATATAAACAGGGACCACTAAAATGGCCTAGCTATTTCAAGTAGATCCTGGTTGCGAGTTTATGGGATCAGTAACTAAACTGTTAACAAAGCACGATGTCAAAATCAGGCGTGGTGAAAAAGAGGCCCACCGTAGTCAAGCTATCATTGAAAGATTTAACTGGACATTAGCGGAACGTTTGTTTGGCTATCAGTATGGGATTGAAATGAAATCGGAACGATAAAGATCAACTGAATGGGTGACACGTTTATCAGCTGTTGTATCAGCGCTGAATAATGAAGTAACGAGATTAATTGGGAAGAAACCATCCGATGCGATTAAAATGAAATCTGTGACTTCTGAATCTTCAGCACCGAGGAGAGGCAAAGAACAATAACTTCCGGATAGAGTAAGCTTAAGATATTTATACCAGCCCGGTGAACTCGAAGGAGGCCTACGTTGCACAACCGATCCGATTTGGTCTCTTAAGATATATAACATTAGTTGACTGGTTACGAAAGAAGGAGACCCTATTCTTTATTATCTTAAAGATGGACCGGGCAGGGCATTTGTACGAGAAGAGTTGCTCATAGTTCCCAACGATACAGTACTACCACCATAGCCATAAGCGTAGGTTGTTACACCATTATTATCAATCCATCTCTTTGTATCTAAGGGGGATAATGATGTCTAGTTCATTCTTAATCCATATATCCTGTGATTGTAACTTCTTAAAGAGTTCATCTCATGTTTGAACGTTCTACCATTGAATAATGCTTCTTTATACTGTTCGTGTTTAATATGCTTTTTTACCACATACTTCTTAACACCCTTAGCTTTTCTTATCTCTATTATCGGACTTCTTTATAGAATACATCTTAGGTCTTAATCCGACATACTCCGCTATAGGGGTCCCAGCACATTCATCCTTCATCTTACCTAACACCTTTTTATTTACTACGCTGTGCAGTGGATTATCTTTTGGGTAATCGCTCATGTCGTACATATCGATTTATTCTGCCATATCTTTATACACATCCTCGGTTTGTATTTCCATCAACAAAGAATCTGTGTTGGTATATAACACCTCGCATCTATCATTGTACTGCTTCTTAAGTTCGTTGTAATAAAAGTCATACATTAAGTGTTTTGACAAGTCAAGAATACTCATACCAACGTACACCGGTCTGTTGAATTTATATTACTTTTATGCATATGTAGTGCGCCTAAGTCATTATCAAATATCTTGCTTCTGTTAAAAGCCGGACTGGCTATAAGTTTCTTGAGTCTTTCTTCCTCATTAGATCTGACTAATTTAACATCTAAACGCTTCCTTAGATTCTCCAGAGTTTTACCAAATACTGAGTTATTCATGAGCTTATATAGTTTCTTTTTGAAATTGCTGGTAGCCATCTTTCTTAAATCTGTGTTCAGCCTTATGTAGGGCTCCATCCAAGGGCTTTGATCAAACTTTAGAACTCTTCGTATTTTCTTTAGTTTCATACCTAACGATAGATATAACTGGAGATTTCTGTAGTGAACTATATATTTTGTCTTATCCGTCAAATTTGGTACGAGTTTTTTTACGTTAGCTAACCTAGTGTTACCCATCAAGTAGTGTTGATATTCCGACATCCAATCTTTATTCACCATTAATCTTTCAGGAGCTAGCGGATAACTGTTATGGTCTTTATGTAACAAATTTGGATATTCCAACTCACATTCTAGTATGTACTCTTTATCGGAATCTGTGGGGATATCATCCACATCGATATCATTCACATCGACCCACTCAAACCCGCCCGTGGGTAAGGGTTAACTCAGAGCCCATCCATACAAATTGTTGGCGTCGAGATATAATATGTGCGTGTCGGGTTTACTCGGATCATATCCTTCCACTAATTTATTATTAGCCTTAGAATACCTTTTCGCTACCATCGATATACCACCTCTTAATCCTTTCTCAATAAACCATCGCATATTGTAATGCGAGTAATTTTAGTTCTACACCGGTTTCCTTCAACAATGCATCCCACGATAGACGGGACTAGAATAGTGCCATGCCGGGCCCAAGCCGTATTGTTTTAAACATGTCTTTCTAAATATCTCTAATATATCGGCAAGTAACAGTCCATCGGTTTTTAAGTACAGATCGTGATAATCGCCTAAATTCTTACAACCTAATTTATCCCAGACCGTCAGAGCGTGTTCATAATCGGCATCGGTTATTTTAGATTCTGTTAAGTTACTATGGAATGTTTCAAGGGGTGTTAATTTAGTTTAGTAGTATAGGTAATGATGGTTCTGGACCACTTCCACTGGAGCCAGATTCATATACCTATACTGCTACTACAGGGGGGATTTTTTATGTCAAAATGATGATGCGATTTAATGATAGTCATGAGATTAAGTTAAATTGGCTCTAGCTCACCAATACCTGGGGCCAATCATTGCTTTAGATGAGCCTAAATGGTAATAAAAATATTCTTTATTATTTTTATCGATAAAGCGATATTCAACATTTTTATTAAGTTCTTCGTTAATTTTACTAGGAGACCAGACTATAACTACACTCTTTTTGTAAATTGATAAGAAACAATTGATAACCGTATTTGGTTGGTTTGACATCACTGATATAATAAAAACCTTGTGGTAATTCTTTCCATTTAATAGCTTTCTCCATTATTATATATTTATGTAAGCAATTGTCTAAATGTGATCAAACGATAGTAAGCAATCTATTTTTAATCTCCAACCAGTTCTTTGGTTTTGGCACGGAATAATTGACGAGCTTGTTGCCTCCCCTCTTCTATGAACTTTTTTTTCTCGTCTTCGCTAATACCACTGGTCTTACGAGATTTTGATCGAATCTCCTGCTTCATTTTATTGTATTTGTTAAGCTCCGACAGCACTAAACGAAACTCATCCTCGGATATCTTACAATCGGCCATTGCTGTCGAAATATGATCCTCGATGCTGTTCAACTTTGCTTCGGCGAGTATCCGAATACTATCGTGTTTTAATGCTTTCTTTTGTAACCGACGAGAAATGAATTTTATCGCTATTCCTGCCAGTCCCGAGACTCCAGCGGCTATTTCCATGCCTAGCACGATAGGCGCGGCGATTATAGTTGATAGTAAACCGATACCCGCTACACTGAGTCCCATGCCAGATACTACAAGAGCGGTGTCAACTCCGTCCAGAGCATTCACGGCTTTGCGATACTTTTTATACAATCCAAGTCTCAACTCCCTATCCTTCCCTATTCGATGTTTTATGTCGCTTATTTGATGTAATCGAAATCCATCAACAGTTTCCATCTTTTCAAATGCTTCATTGAGCGCCGGATATAAACTCATAGTGTATATAACGATCATATAATAGTCTTTAATTGGTCTTGCT